AGTGTACATGGTACATGTTGCATGCACATTTATCTAGAAGATGCCCGAAAAGAAATTGTTTTTTTCGGCAGCTTGGCTCGGCTATTTTCATGTTCTATCCTTTTTGACAAAAAGCTTCTTTTTTATTTTATTTTTCTCTATCCGGACTCGGAAAGATGAGATATGACCTCTTGTTCTCATATTCCCAGAACTCCGGGTCCTCAAGAAATACACCAACTCTAGGTCCCACAGTTTATTTTCTTTGTTGTCTACTGACTGGTTGCTAAATATAGTAATGAGATGGGGATCTCTTATATGGTTCACCTCGTTTCCCTCTTTGGGAATACGCGCAGAAACAATGTGTGTTGTACAGGTATTTGGCAGACATGTGATCTTTTTTTCTCTTTCAAGTTTGGGACTTGATCCAATGAGATGGGAATCCGCATGTGGTGGTGGGTAAGGTAGAGAGATACTCCGTACAAAAAGAGCTGAAAGAGAAGGGATCAATAAGCTTTGGGACCGAGGGGTTTGACATTGGGGTTTTTTGGGTCTCTCTCTTCGTATTCCCCTTATAATAATAGTATCTATAATAGACGGCATAATGCATTTCTTTCCTTTTGTTCTTTGATGGAAAGTCCTAGAGGATTAGGAAAGGGCCAAGTAACCCAAAGATTGTTTAATGTTGGGTTCGTGGATACGTGATGTGTGTTTTGTGTTACGTGTTGATTTTTTTTTGTGTAGGTGTAAAAGAATACAGGCCCGGGTTGGCTAACCAGATTGAGGGAAAGGAGTATCTCAAGATACACAGGTACAGATACAGACCCTATGGTAGTAATGCTCCAAGTTGATGACGACATTGGATATCTTGTGCCACTCTTGTTGGTTGGCAAAAATTGAGTTTTGAAAGTCCTACTTTGCCCCAATCATTTTTGGACTTTTCTCGAAAAGGGGGCTGGCCAAAAGTTTGTGGTTTTGTGTCTCTCCGATCTCGCCGAGTTTGGAAAGCCGCGGTATTTTCTAGAGAGATAGAGAGAGGGAAAAAAACTCGGTTACACGACCGAATACACAGCATAAGTGAGGCCCCTTGGAGGGAGCTTAAGAGATGAACCAATTGGATGAGGATAAGACGGCAAGACGTAATCACTTGCATAGATTAAACAAGGGCATAGCATGGTATGACCTTGTACAGCATGATGAGGAACCGGGGGGAGGGAGAGAGGGAGGTTGGTGGTGATCCCAAGTACGTGTATGTCTTGAAAGTATAAACCTTGTAATTCCCACTTTTTAAACTATACTTTTGGTGATACCTCAAGTCGCGGTGAGAGCGAGAGCGAGAGAAGAAAGAGAAGAAAGACTCTTGGCCTTCCAGAAGGCGCCGATGTTGTTTATTGTGTTGCACCCTCTCTCTCTTGTCTCAGATGTTGTGTTACTGGACACCACTCTGCGGAGTATCAACTCTTTTTCCTCTGGATGATTTTCTTGGAGGAAAAGGACTTTTCCGTCTGTGTTCCTTTGCTCTCAAGGGGCATTGTCATTTGTATGCCTCGGGATCTCCTTAGTTACAGTTGTATTTGCCGTGGCAACCGGCTTGTGAGGTTACAAGATAGATGCATTAGGAGTCCTCAGTGGCGTTATGATTTTCTTGATGACTCGCATGGATGTGCCGAACTTGCAGGGCACAAAAGACCGAGACCTGCGTTTGACACTCCCGTAGTGTACATGTTAATTAACTTTTACTGTTTTTCCCCGCCGAGGGCTTCTACAAACAAGGATCTATTCAGAAAGATGTTGTGTTCAGGGGGTGGCTTCTCGATGAGATGATGGAAGCTGGAGGGTCTTGTCACTCTCTCCGTTGGTGATGCTTGGCAGGGACAGACAAGTTAAAATCCGAATTGGGAAGGTAAAGTAAAAATATGCCTTGATGTTTGACCATCTCTGAGATTTGAGATATACTTTCATGCTATACTGCATTCCCCGGATATACCCAAAATCTCACACACAACCAATAAGGCAACCAATAAAGGTTGTGATGAAAGCTGACTGGTGTATTCCACTTTCGGAAATATAACACAACATCAAAAAGGAAAAAAGACAAAATGTAACGCTCCATTATCCCAAGGGGGCAGTGTCTGTCTTTCTCTAAACCAACGGCCGGGCCGATTTTGGTTTGTGTAACCATGAGAATCCATTGGTCTGATTGGTCCACTCTAATGTAACCATTTAATTGTCGTGGCTTTTTTTCTTTTCGAGAATCACACATTCCATCACATCACACATTGTGTATGTGTCTGCATATAATCTTTTACCCGCCACGGAAAGGGGGCAAAAGAGTAACAGTAACGACATACAACAAAAAACAAAATCATCCGAGTTGATGAATCATGCTGCGATCCGTGCATGAAAATGAGTAAAATCCAGAATAATCAAAGTGTCACGGGTGTGTTACCAAAAAGGGTAAACCCCGAGCATCCCCGATTGGAGATGGGGTTGTCTTTCTGCTATCAGATCATTTTCTGTCAGCGTTTATTACTGATTATTGTTGTCACATCATATCATGAGTTTACTCTAGGTATCTATTGCTCTGTAAACAGTACCCCTGAATACCATTCATTGATTTTTCACCAAATAAACAAACACACAAAACTCAACAAAAAAGAAACAAAAAAAAGAAACAAAACATTAAAAATGACGGCATTCACCAAGGTTACATCTTCCCCTTTTGTTACTTTGTGGGGGGGGGGGGGCGCCATCACAGGAAACAAAAGATCCAAGCATGACATTTCTTACCAGGGACTATGTACACCAATTGCACCCTCATCCGAGGCGCAGTCAAAGAGTTAAGAGATAACGTTATGGCATATATCTCCATCAAACTATTTCCTTTAAGCTTTTTCGGTCAACCAAAAAGAAACAAACACTGTAACTGCATCTCAGGCATCAAGCGAATAGTTTGGTTGGTTGGTTCCGATTCTCGGTAGACGGAAGCGAGTTGTTACAAGTGAGATTTTGGTATGCATGAAGGAACTTTTTTTTCCGTTTTGCGCCCTGTGTAACCATCGTCTAGATAGTGGCATTGTTCTTGTTGGAAGTTGAAGAGAGAGAAAACTGCCGCCTATTGTAACCCCCTAGTTTATTGGTAAATATCCGCAGCGTCGGCGGCTTTCATCGCTTGTGTAACCTTTTGCAGCGTTGGTTGTCTATAACGCCGCTTTATTATAGCTTTTTTTTCATTGAAGATGGGGTTTCTTTAAATGCCCATAATAGACTAAAAATGTACTGCCACCTTTTTAAGATTGAGTTGTTGTGAAGAAAGTCACGTTACGATTCGTTTATTGCCTCTGCCTCCTCCATAGAACAGCAATAACCGTAAGTAAGCCAGTCATGATGTACTTGGTAATTTTAGATTTGACTGTTTCTTCTCATGGCTGGATGGTATCATAATCACAATCATCATCACCTGTTGCATTGATTCACCTGACCGGTGTGAATACCGGACCGTCGGTACCGGGGGGTTTTGACGTTCAGTAATCTGTGATGCTGCTGCTTGCCTGTTCCGAGGTTCTTTTGTCCGGGACGGACCGCTGGGAAATGGTACATTGAGATGAAGTTTCATTTTGTTGGGTTTAGTAAGTCTCTTGGTATTTCGGCCTGAAGAAAAGGGTAAAGCGTGAATGGAGACCAAAAGACAGAACGGGAAATGCAGAATCATTGTGTGCAGTATTTGCTAGCCAGTCAAGGCAAAAAAGATGTGATAACCAAGACAATAGAGACGGATCATCAACACACTGTTGAAACACACTATACATACAAAGAGGCAATTCCGATCTCCTCGGTAATAATTACTCTACAAAGCCTAACAGGTAGCATTATCCATCTACACAGAGTGTACATATCATGATCATCAGCATGTCTTATCATAATATCATGTAGAGAACTTCCAAACTGTGACTCTGCTGCCTATGGATATGCAAAAGTAAAGTTGGCAGTGGAGAGTAGAGTACGTGATGACGCGGAATCATTGATGAGTTAATGCGGCAGGCTGACTTGGGTAGGTGGGTTAGAATCGTTACTCTGTTGATTGGAAGAAAAGGAGATTATCAACCAACACCTCTTCAAAACACCTTTATGGAGTCTAAGTCATGCAAGCACCAGGAATATGTCTGCAGGTTTGAGTCATACCGAGAGAAAGAGGGACGTAGTTGGTGATAATGGCGCTCAGAAGAGGGAAGTGACGTGTCAGGGTGAGAGAGGGAGGGAAACCAGTCACGGTTATGGACTTGGTCTGCATCGAGCGAGGATACTGAGATGTAAGAAGAGAGAGAAACATTGATTTCTAGGACGAGTAAAAGAATAGAAGATAGTGATTAACATCTAAGCAGTTAATGCGGTGTATCTCTATCCGTTGAGAGAAGAGTGGATTTTGAACCAGAATATGGGTTTTGTTTTGTTTCCCCTGAGTTCTGAGGCAACCACCTCAGAAGGGCTGGTTTTGACACGTTAGAAATTACAAATGTATATGGAATTAAATTAGAAATTTACCTTGATAGTTATAATATACTGAGTGGTGAGATCAACCTCTCTACGTACTCCTGGGTATAGACCACCTTAAGTGAAGGAGAAGGAGAAGGAGGAAGAGAGCTAACTTTAGCTGTGAAATCTTCAGAGCCAGGAAATAAATGTCATGACAACACTTAATATGGAAAGATATCGTCATGATTGGATTTGGACCAAGATGTATAGATCAGTCACTGAGCCGGAATTACCTACGTATATTCAAAAAAAAAAAAAAAAAAAAAAGGATAGAGAGAAAGAGATAGAAAAGATCCGCTTATTACGCTCCTCATTTTTCTTCAACTTGGATTCTAGAAGAAGAAGACGGACGATGACAGAACAAAATATTGTTTATAAAGAATGATAAAGATGTTACTAAAATGGTTAATAATAGTATACCATTCAATAATAATAATAATAAAAAATAAAGAAAAGAAATAGATGGAAAAAAGAATTTTAAAAAATATCATTGTCCCCGGTCAGATTCGAACCGACGTCTTTCGCTGCCTCAAATCCAAATTCGCTAGATAAATATACAGAGAGACGCTGGAAATAAAGCACACAAACGCTGACCACTACGCTACGGGGATTGTAACATTGGTTGTGAACACCCGAGTCAGAATTTGAAATAAATAGTCCTGGGCACTGGGGGTGTGGTGGTGGAAGAGTTGGTCGTGGCTTGTTTAGAGTGTGGCAATGATATAAGTGGTGGTGGTATGGCATTGTATGTTGACGGGAGATACTATGCTGTAGGAAAGTAAAAAAAAAATCAACCAAAAGGGAGATAAGAAAGAAGGAAACAGAACAGAGATGGAATTTCTTTTCCAAAAAAGACATCAAATGTTGAACCTTTTTCATCCACCCACTTGTTCTAAAGAAGAGAAATATCCTTTCCAAAGGCTAGAGGCAAGGTATACCGTCTCAATACATACACAAACAGAGCATACAACTGCTCTAATGGTCTCAAACCATTCATGAAGAGCCTAGAAAGACCACGCATTATGCATTCTCAGCAAAACAAGAAACGTAGCAGAAAATCTTCCACTACCAGCATAGTTAGGTTACGGAATCAAAACTCTATGAAAGCGACTTCAACCTGATTGCACGACACCATCAACTACTCACTCGAAAAGGCACATTCAGTCCGTTTGCCTTCAACATCTATGTAGTAGATTTCTCATTAATTCCAGGCCATTCATAACAGAGAGTGACCCAACATGAGTTTTGTCTTTTGTCTCTTCAAACTCATCAACTAACTTCAGAGAGCATCATCAATGACACACACAGAACAGAACAATGATCAACATCCAAAGACCTTGCAAAAACCATCACTTTCAGTTTTTTTTTTTTTTTAGTTTTTTTTTTTTTTTAAAAAAAAGATTTCTTTTACGCCTCGGTATCTTTTAAAATAAAACGAAATAAAAGAACATGTTACAAAGAAAAAGAAAAGAAGCCCCAATTATTCCTCCCTTATTTTATTTTTATTTGTTTTGCTTTCCATCATTTCCCAAACTCTCTCGCAAAAAGTCCCAATCTCGTAGATGTTTTTTTCAATTTCCTGTTGTCTCATTTGACTTTTTTATTTTCCTTTCGCCGGTTAACTCTCCGGACAAGTCTTAAAACCTCCAAAATACTGAAGAGAGGGAGGGAAGGTCGAGATGACAAAAACAAACGAAAAACGGCACCGCTAGTATTTCCTTTCCATTTCATGATATACCTCCTTTCCATCCAGAGAAGAAGAAAAAAAGGTAAAAAACAAAACAAAACGAATCAAGAACAAAACCCTTTCCCTTCCACTCAAGACTGCTGAGCAAAACGTTTGGCCCTGGCCTCCCTCTTCGCCTTATCCGCCGGATTCTCAGCAGCCTTGGGTCTTGCCTGCTGCTGTTGCTGCGACCTCTGTTGCTGTCCCCTCTGCGGCTGCTGCTGTCCTCTCCCACGACCACCACCGTGTCTCCCACCACCGCGATCATTCCTGAGCTGCTGTTGATTCTGTCCACCCTCAGTCCTACCACGCTTCTGTTGCGCACGTCCCTCACCATCCTTTTCCTTATCACCAGCCGCCTCACGACCGCGCTTACGAGGTCCACGCTCAGGCAGAGCGCTATCAAGCGCCGAGACCTGTTCATTAGCCACGCCGAACCGCGCGGCGCGCTCTGCCTGCTTAGCCTGATCAGATTCTTGATCAATCGTAATCCCAAATCGCGCAGCGCGGGCAGCGCGCTTCTCAGCTTCGGTCTTTGCGTTGGTAGGCGCAAGGTTTTGAGTAAAAAGCGGAGCAGCAGGCGCAGCGGGTTCTTCTTCCTCTGGTTTCTTCTCCTCTGCAGTAGTAGTCGTAGTCGCAACAGTTTCATCAACAGGCTGCGCAGAATTGTCTTCAGCGGTCGTCTTTTCCTCATCTGCAGTCGCAGCAGCCGGCGCCTCTTCAGCTGGCTTAGTTTCAGAAGAAGTCGTTACTTGCACCTTTGAGGCGTTGATAGCAGGAGGAGGAATATCATCGTCGTCATAATCGATTTCGTCCTCTGCGGGAATAGCTTTGGTTTCTAAAAGCGATTAAAAGTCAGCAATTAGTGTTTGTGTGTCTGTGCGACATGATTCTTTTCCTACCATTCTTGCTCTCGGCGCCCTCCGGCGCACTCGATTTATCGTTCTCCTGAAGACGCGCAATGAGGTCGGCCTTATTACCCGTTGCCGCGAGTCCTCTCTCTTGGAGGAGCTTCTTCAACTCGGGCACCTTCATGCTGTTATAGTCGGACATCTTGTCGCTGTTTGTTTTTGTCGTCGCTGTCGTCGCAGACTGCAAAAGGGGGAAAATAAAGGTAAAAGGGTAAAATTGATTTTGCGATTGACAATCGATGTTGGGATGAAAGAGGATGTGTCGGTAAAGAGGAAACGAATGTCGCGAATTTGGAGGAAGTTGAAGAATGGTCAGAAGTTGAAAGCTGGAGCTTCTTTGCGACTTTGCTTGCAGGGGGAGGGAGGCTCGCGAAACGCGTTTGTTTGCGCACGTCCAATACAATTCTTTGGATCCACCTGATTGGAACAATTACATGCCAAGCCAATAACTAACCTATTGTTCACCTTGGGTCTTCACCGAGCCACACCGAGAACACAGAATATTCAGCCAATAGCAGAATCTATTAATTATATATGCAAATACAATATCCTAATCAACGAGGGGGTATAATAATCAACAGAAAGAAAGAAGACAAAATATGCAAAGCCATCACTCGCTCCTGAATGCCCGCCTGCCTGCCTGCCTGTCCCCTTATAACAATGCCCTATCCCATCCGTGATGAATGAAATGATATCCTTTCATGCTCCAAAACAAACAAACAAACAAACACCCCAAAAATCCATCCTATCCCTCCCTAATCTTTACAAAGTGTTTTATTATATATGCATTCACAAGCACCCCTTCCCCTTCCCCTTTACATCATCAACCCCTCAACCTCAGCAGTGACCATCTTCATGATCCACTCGGCCTGCTGGAAGTTCTTGCACTGGAAGCACCACTTGGTCACCTTGCCCGACAACGCACCATTCGCCGGCGCAACGCCCACATTTCCATCCTCATCCCTCAACTGCTCCCAAACGCTGCACATGACTCCCTTCCTGCCCAGCATACTGAAGCACTTGCTTCCCAACACGGCATCCAACATTATTACTGGCTTGTCCCCAGTCTTCTTGTTCTGTTTCGTAACAATCACTCGCTTCTCCAACCCGTGATACAGCTGCAACTCCTGCTTCACACCGGGCGGAGGGCGCGTGATATGCAAGATGCAATCTCCCTTATCCAGCCACCTGTTATTTTGAACATTTAAGTGACACCTAATCTCGAGCGGCTGGTCGGGCGAGAACGGCTTCGAAAGACCGTTACTCCATCGACTGCCCGAGCCAGACAGCGAAACGCTGCGCGGTGGCGTGGTACCGCCCCCTCCCTCACCACTCGAGTCGGCGCTCGACATATAGAAACTGCTGTGGCCGGCACCGCCCCCGCGGGACGAATTCTTATCTACCGTTGACTCCTCAATATTGAACGTGTTGTTAAGACCGCCCATCAGCCTACGGAGGAAACTGCCTGCCGAGACGGTTGTAGACATGCTACCCTGAGAGACGCTCGGCGGCGCGCGCGTCGAGGCGCGGTAGCTGTTCTTGCGGCCCAGCCAGCCACGCCGACGGCATGAACTATCGCCGTCTGCACTTCCCTCTCCTCCCTCCATTGGTGTTTGGCCAAACGATCGGAAGCGCGCCTCCTCAGCGAGCTGAATGTACCTAGCATTATTCAGCCGGCTGAGGTGCACAGCCTCGTAGAGCGCCTGTCCCTCTTCCTGCGTTGCTGTGCGGAATCGGAACATGCCGCTGTCCGTCTTGAGTCGCGATTCTGGTGACGCAATAGTACGGACTTCGAGATCGAGCGCTGTACTTCGGCGGATCATGACCACCGGAGTGAGAATGAGTCCCACAAGGGGAAGGATGCTGCCCGCATCCTTTGTTGCGTTATCCACCTCCGAGGTACCTGATGACTGGAGAGGATATGCTTGGTGAATAGTGTGGTGCTCATTGAGCTGGTGCACCTCCATGCAGCCTGGGTGTACCCAGATAGATGCCGCACTACCGCCAACCATGTCCTTCCATTGCCCCTTCTTGGAAGTCCAGTAAGAGACTTTAGCGACGAATTTCTGTGTCGGTCGCTCTGGTCTTCTTTGGCCGTCATGGGTTGCATAGCCAACCTGAGATGCTGAGTGAGAGGGAGTAATGCTACTATCCGAAACGACAGACTCGGCCGCAGCAGGCATGTGAGGCTTTCTCAAACTGTAGCCTGGAATGGTATCAGGCACTTCATCTTCATCCAAATCGTCACTGGATGATTCAGACGATTCAGAATCCTCCGTGACAGAGCCAGACTCATCAGACGAGACGTCAGATGGATGGTATTCGTGCTTAAGTGGAGATGAGCCCCTGCGCTTGATTGGGGGTGCTGCCTTGAGCTCGATTGGAGGAGCCAGCTTGTTTGACAGAGTCCTGTGAATCGGCGGAGGTGGAGCGCCATCTTCACGGAATGGAGTTGAATTGGGAGGCGGTCTGCTGGTTCGATCCTCGACTCCATGATACTGTGGGAAGGTAGCACGACTTGGTAGTTTATCCGGCGAGGGAGAGCCCTGGCTGGATCGAGGACGGTATCTAGATGGTGTGCGAGGTCTCCCGTTGTCTGATGAGTCTGAGGTGGGCTTGCGCTCGCCAACAGGAATCTCGTGATGGTCTGACTTGGGCGACCCTACCATCATGACTGTGCTTGTTGGCCGTCTTCGTGTCATGGGTGGGACTGGATTGCTGCCCAGGACGTCCAGCCAAAAGTCGATTTGTTCCTCACTGACCGTGGACATGTTGAGAAGCTCATACCACTCGATCCCATTGTGTGTGCCACGAATCATGACCACCATAGCACGGTCATTCTCGCTTCTTCGCGCAGAGATGTAGGGCATTGGCACAGGAGGGAATAGCAGCCATGATCGAGCGTTGTTACCCACTTCGCGAATGAGAATGTCGCCCAAGTGGGCAGGGGCGCCTGGGATATCCCGATGAATGA